CATTGGCAGGTCTGTGGAGCTGTTGCAGAGGTTTAGGATGCAAGAGTTTGCAGAAGGAAACTTTCACCCATTTGAATGTACTCAGAGCTAAAAAAAAGCAGGAGGGGACTGTCTTTTGTAAGTAAAAAGAAAGCTTTGCTTTGTGAAGGTGCTGGTGGAACAGCAATGGTTTGAATATGAATAATGAATAATAAAAGTCTCTGACTAAGTTTTCAAATGCAGCAAACGCTTTCTCCCTATAAAACTCATCGACAGCTTCCTTTTAGCCTTTTCTTTACTTGTGTTGTATACTCTGTATAGTTCGTTATTTACTTCTCCTGGGTGCAAGTTATCAACCTCATCTTCTTTGAAGTTTAGTTTTTATTTTGTTCTGTTTCGTTTGAAGAGACTAACACAAAGGTGTGTGTCTGTGTGCAATCTTGGTTAATATTGATTGTTAATATGAATTATGACCAGCTATACTTTAGTTTTCACTGATCCCACCTGCTTCTGCATTATTATATTTTCTTAACTGTTATAATTATTAGTTATACTAATTAATCGTTCCAAAACATTCTTTCGTGAACGCAATAGCAGTTTATTGAGCCTCACAAAACAAGAAACATGGTTCAACTTTTCCTTTTGGTTGAGAATTCATAAAAATATGAAGTTTCTTATTTGTATATTGTAAGAGATGTCTTTCTTTTTTCTTTTTAATATAATTTTGGGTTATTAGTAATACAACCCCTCAACTAAAGATATATGTAAAAAAAATCCTCAACTAAAGATATAGTGAAATAAACCCTCAACTTTAGTTCCGTTAATGTTTGTCACCCTCCGTCACAGAATTTTAGACGGAGGGTAACATACATTAACATAACTAAAGTTGAGGGTTTATTTCACTAAATCTTTAGCTGAGGTCTCAACTTTAGTTGAGGGGTTTTGTTACGATTCATCTTTAGTTGAGGGGTTTTATTACTAAATGCGGTTAAATATTTGAAAATCTCTATTATCATTTATTTAGTATATAAGAATTTTACAATTGATTTATAAACATTGAAAATAATTTCTAATCTTTATATATTACTTTATCAAATTTTTAACCTATTTATAAAGCTTAGTAAATATTTTAATTTTTATAAACTATTAATAAGGTTTAATGATGATTTTATAAGCTTTTGTTTGCTATTTCTTAGGATGAAATAATACATGATTTTTCTTGATATTACGAAGTAAAGCGATAAAGCTTTATAAAAGAAGAAACACATATAATTTTCTTATATTAATACTTTAAAATATCAAATAATTAAGACTTCTAAGTTATATAAAGTTGTAGGTAGTGTTGAGGATATTTAATTAGTTTAGAAATTCAATCTTGTTACTTAAAATATGGCAAGAGCTTTTTTCTCCTCTTTAAACAATTTCAATTTGATTCGTACTTTTCTGTTTTAGAAGAAATAATGTAGGATTATTATTTTTTTTTTAATTTCTGAACCAATATGTTATACTCCTACCATATTAATCAATAAACTTTTCTTGTTTTATTTATTTTCATGTTTTTGTAGTATGACGAATAATCACTTCTTTAATCTTATAAAATCATCATTAAACTTTAATAATAATTTATAAAAAGTATTAAATGAGAAAACTTTATAAATAGGTTATAAAATTGATAAAGTAATATATAAAAAATATAAATTACTTTCAAAGTTTATAAATCAATTTTAAGGTTCTTAAATAATGAATAAATAATAATAAAGATTTTCAAATATTTAACCACATTTAGTAATAAAACCCCTCAATTAAATATGTATCGTAACAAAAACCTCAACTAAAGATTTAGTGAAATAAACCCTCAACTTTAGTTCTGTTAACATATGTTACACTCCGTCTAAAATTCTGTGACGGAAGATGACAAACATTAGCAGAACTAAAGTTAAAGGTTTATTTCACTAAATCTTTAGTTGAAGGGTTTTTTTACGATCCATCTTTAGTTGAGGGGTTTCATTACTAAAAACCCTATAATTTTTAACCGACGTCAGCTTTTATTTCCGATATGAAGCCATGTGATGTACATGCATGAACCGTATCATTATTTCTTCTTTAAAAATTTAACTTTCTTATTTCAAGCACTTTTAAAGACATTTGTCATTGATATTTTCTCTAATAGCTATTTAAAATATTAAGGTGATTTGATTTACTATGTAGCATTTAGTTTGTTAATACCAAATATAAGAATATTTAACCGTGTGATGGTAGTATAGCGGCAGGCAAAATTTGGGTTGCTAAGCAATATAAATTTAAATGTATCCTATTACATTCTATTATGTGGTCATGCTGATATATAAATATTGTTTTATGGCTCATATGAATATAAGAATATTCGAGAACTAGTTTTTTGGACATATTAATCAAAACTATTTCATAGGTTCGAGATATTTATAGGTAAATAATATATATATATATTTGAGCCCATATAATTTAAGAAAAAAAACTATATATATATATATATGATTTTGAAATATTATATAAAACATTAGGTAATATATGCTAGTTTGTCTTAACAATAAAATATATATTTGCGCAATTAAGCTGAAAATTTGATATAGCAAAGGTTGGGTGGAACCACCTAATAAGATAAGGGGACAAAAGGCATTAGACCGTTGGAAATAATTATTGACATTATTTTAAGGTGTGTTTAGAAGTTTTTGTCAATAATTGATACATACTTGATAGTTACTTGAGGCCCCCTACTATACCTTTTCCTCCAAGGGAATAACTCAATAACACATAAATGATAGTTATTTATTTAATTTAATGACGTCCAATAAAAAATATATTCTTTATAAGAATTGTGTTAGTCTATATTATAAAACTGATTTATGTAGCGTCTAGACATTCGTCTATGCGGCAAACAAATCATGATATAAATCAGTTCAAATAATTTTATAATAATTTTAATATGTTTAAATCAGTTTAAATAGTGTAAGTTTTTTAAATCAAACATAAAGGTTGGTTCAAAATTGTTAATATTTGTGCAAAAGAGTAAAACATGTAATAAAAACTGATTTATGTAGCGGTAACCGCCTAGTGATTATCTGAACACTGGTGTATTCTATAGTCTATAACATTCCATCGACTAAAGCAGTTGAAAAAAGAAACTTCGTATTCTTTGTTTGATGATAACAAAAACGTTATAAAGTTTTACAAAATGTTGTAATTTATTCATAAAGTTTTATAGTACGTATCATATCATATGCATTTACTATTAGCTATTTATTCTTCAGGCTATAGTCTATTCCATTTGACGCTGATGGTTTTGCACTCATTTTTCCATACAAATTGATATTTGCAGCCACAATAAATTTTCACTTTGTTAATTGTAGTAAACTATATACGATCGGAATACCAAATGAGGTAATGTAAAAAGGTATATTATCAAGTATTCTTTTAAAATAACGTATCTTGTATTCATTATTAACCTAGTATGTCAAATAATTAACAAATCAATAAAAATTTACTCAAACGACCATGTCTGAATCCTTTGAACTCAAGTGCTGCAACTAGAATTTTTTTTTCCAAGTACCAGTATATTAGTTTTTAACAAACAATTTATAAGGAGTTTTGATATTTCTTCATTCCCTCATACCATTTTTTAACAACACATTAAATACAAATAATTTGATGGCTCTGTTTGAATGTATAAATAAATTCACGAAAGAGACCATGACATAGAATTATTATTATTATTAGCTTTTCAATCATATCCTACTATATATTAATTTAGAAGTCAATTTATTGATTTTTGTTTAGATATCACTTATACGTGAAACTTAAAATTGATTCTCTTAATTCAAATGATTGTTGATATTTGACTTTTCCTTGATTTAAATCATTTTTTTTAAAAGGAAACTAATCATAAAATTACTTAATCTAATCTATATTACCAAATAAACAATCAAACATCTTAAATTTAAATGAATTAATATAATATTTTTGTTGAAACAATTGATTATCATAGATTACATTAAATAAATTTATAATATTAATATATAGTATCATAAACATTTATATAAATGATTTTTAAAATATTATATTTATAATGGATACCATAAATATAAATTGCAGAAAACTAATAAATAGAAACTTAATAGTATTTTTATTCACCATCAACAAATCCGTAAAAACTATATCAATTGTAAAACAGATAAATAATTTTATTCATATTTAAAAACAATTTGTTTAAACAACTTTGTAAAAACTTTCTTTTACATGTTACACAGATAACTAAAAATAAAATAGATTTGTAGCTAACAAAATAAGCATTTATTTTTACTTACAAATCCTATCAATAAATCTATGGATCTAAATGTTTTCATTTATTAAAATAATTTAATTGAAATCTGTTCATAATGTTTTTAAACTACCAGCTACAATTTATTTATATCATAATATGATTTTTTTTTATTATCTATTAAATACAAACACTATTACCATGAATGAATATTTAATAGAACTGAATATTACTTAGAAATATTATTAAAAATTTATTAAACTAATAGGAATCCACACACACACACACACATATATATATATATATAGCTTTTTTTTTCTTTCCATAATCTTTATCTGTACTTTACTTACAAATATAGATTTATTTGTCTCATCATTCATATTATCATATTTTAATAAATTTTAGATGAAAATCCTTGATTTACAAACCAATTAATATATATATCCATATCTATGGTCTGGATGTAAATGTTAAAAATTGAAATTACATTCTTAATAGATTAAAATACCGATCAGTCATATATAATTATTGATAAAAAAAATTAATGAAATATTAAGAATTCCATTTAAACTTTTAAAAATTAATCAAATAACCAAAATAAATAAAATATTTAAAATTTGTTTATTCAAAAAATATCTATCAAAAATTCACATTCAATTTAAAAAACTAAAAATATATTATAACATGTCAAAAATATTACATTATATTTTGAAATTATTTGTACCCACAAATTTTGTAGAAAACTAAATATTGCCTAGCGAGTGGCTTATTATTACATATGATCAATGATTGAAAGAGTGAGTATATAAAACGACGACACCTCATAACTTCTTCCTTCCACTCCATTTGTATGGCTTTCGTTTCCCATACTGCACTCTGCATTCTATCATCCTCATCTCTCTACTTTCTCACCTCCAAATGGTGAACATAAAATCACACTTCCTCACCTGTGACTGATATTACCATATTCTCGTTCTCTTCACTCTAATATCACTTTTTCATTTCATTCTAACCTACACCACTTATATATCAATATGGAGGAAGAACGTCGAGTTCTGTTCGGAAAATACGAGATGGGAAGGCTATTAGGCAAAGGAACCTTCGCCAAAGTCTACTACGGCAAAGAGATAATCTCCAGCGAGAGCGTCGCCATCAAAGTCATCAACAAGGAACAAGTACTCAAAAGACAAGGCATGATGGAACAAATAAAACGCGAGATCTCGATAATGAAACTCGTTCGTCACCCAAACATCGTCGAATTAAAAGAAGTCATGGCCACGAAGACAAAAATCTTCTTCGTGATGGAGTTCGTTAGAGGCGGGGAGCTATTCGACAAAGTCTCCAAAGGCAAACTCCAAGAAGACGCGGCTCGTAGATATTTCCAGCAACTAATCTCAGCCGTCGATTTCTGCCACAGCAGAGGCGTCTCTCACCGCGACCTCAAGCCCGAGAATCTCCTCCTCGACGAGAACGGAGATCTGAAGATCTCCGATTTCGGATTGTCCGCGTTGCCTGAGCAGATTCTTCAGGACGGACTGCTCCACACGCAGTGCGGGACCCCGGCTTACGTGGCGCCCGAGGTGCTTCGGAAGAAGGGATACGACGGCGCGAAGGCGGATATATGGTCGTGCGGCGTCGTTTTGTACGTGCTCCTCGCTGGATGCTTGCCGTTTCGCGACGAGAATCTCATGAACATGTATCGGAAGATCTTCAGGGGGGATTTCGAGTTCCCGCCGTGGTTTTCGTCTGAGACGAGGCGGCTCGTCTCGAGGCTCCTCGTCGTGGATCCGGATCGGCGGATCTCGATGGCGGAGATCATGAGAACGCCGTGGATCAGAGAAAACTTCACTCCGCCGTTAGATTTCAAAATCTACGAAGAATCGATCGAGGCGGAAGAGACGGAGACGGTTACGCCGAAGTTTTTCAACGCTTTTGAATTCATCTCCTCGATGTCTTCTGGATTCGATCTCTCGAGCTTGTTTCAGAGCAAGAGGAAGATTCAATCGGTATTCACGTCGCGATCTTCGGCGACGGAGATAGTGGAGAAGATCGAGACGGTTACGAAGGAGATGGAGATGAATGTGAAGACGACGAAGGATTTTAGAGTGATGATTGAGGGGAGAACGGAAGGGAGGAAAGGAAGGCTGTCGATGACGGCGGAAGTGTTCGAAGTGGCGCCGGAGATGTCAGTTGTGGAGTTTTGCAAATCGGCGGGAGATACTTTGGAGTACAATAGGTTTTACGAAGAGGAAGTTAGGCCTGCGTTGAACGACATCGTTTGGTCGTGGCATGGTGATAATTGCGCGGTTAATCAGAAACCCGATGGTGATGTCACGGTTTAACAACAATAATATACTTTGAATGATTGATGAATCGGGAGTTTTGGTTTAAGTGCTCCGGTTTACCGGTTAATGTATTGTAGTATAAGAACTGTTACATTGAACCTAAATATTGTTTGGTTTAATATAATTTTGGTTTAATATAATTTTGGTTTTACTTCAGATTCAGAAAAATATAATTTTCTAAGTTCTACTTTTTCTGTCAAGTAAAAATATAATAAAGCTTTAATTGGTAGCATTTCAAATTGGAGATATTTTGTAGTTTTTTTCTTGATTTTAAAATATTTCAAATAATAATTTATCAATATTTTAACCTTTTGTATTTTGAATTTTTTTGTGAGTTGATTCTTTGAGAATCCTCTTTGGATTAGACCAGTTTGGTCCATTGGGAGCTTTGTTACCAACTGGTTTATTGTCATTCCAGTGCGATTGGTTTAGTCATCTCATGGTAGAAAAGAGAAATTGCCTAAATGATTCGGTTGGTTTATCAACATTGCCGCGTGTAGTGTCTCAGAAACGTCGAAAAGATCGACCTTTTGTGGAGAGTTAGTGGAGTGGAGAGGACAAAGCCAGAACAAAAATAATTTTGTTAATCCGAAGACTTTTCTTGAATCTTCTACATGTCAAATTTTAATTTGTCATTAGGCATAATTGTGAAGTCCATACATTCTTTCATACTACGCCATCATTCTACAAGATTCGAAAAAGCTAAATAAAAAGAGAAGTCTCCTAAAAAAGTTAAAATGAATACAAACAACAAAGGGATTAAAAATAAACAAAGAGTAAGAGATGAGGGTCACCTACCTATAAGAGCATCTCCAACCCAACTTCAAATCCTCAAATTTTGAGGTTTTTATCATTCCAACCGAACCTCAAATCCTTAAATTTTGAGGTTTTGAATAGTAACACCTCAAATTTGAGGTTTCACTGTTCAAAACCTTAAAAATACTATTCATTTTCTTTTTAGTCCTTACAATTATTTTCTTTCACAAATACATCTAATAACTTTATTTAGATAGCATAAATATACCAAAATAAAATAAAATATAATAAATAATACATAAAATTAAAAGTAAATTTACACAAATATAAACATACATTAAATATAACTCAAAAAAAAATTAAACAAACTTAACATAAATTAAAGCAAATTATAGAAACATTTAAGTATTGCATATCTTACAAGTGGTATATTATATGTAACTTTCTAAAAAAAACCTGGGTGTATGTTATTTTATTATATATGTAATTTATATTATTTTATCATATAGTATTTTAATATTATGTGTTTTATAATATATTAATTGTATATTTTATATGTATTTGTGAAATATTGTCATTATTCATAGTTTTTATTAATATCAAGGACTATAATGCAAATAATATAAAATTTTAAGATTTTTTTGAGGTTTTATGATTGGAGCAATCAACCCTCAAATCCTCATTTTGAGGTTTTGCTCCCCTTAAAATGAAGTCTTGGGTTGGAGATGCTCTAAGGCTCTACTTCATTCCACTGCACGTCCCCATCGAAGAGAGTTGAGAGGCTTCCAGTAGAAACCAAATATTATTCCGACCAATAATCAGAAAGAAGCATTAATCAGTGGCTAAACATAGGATTTAAGGACAAGGATTGTGAAAGTGACTCCACCCATCAAAAGGATATTATTGTTTAATCAAGAAGAAAGGAACTGTTTGTGTAAGAGACAACACCAATGACCATGACTGCTGTATATCGTGTGTCGATGTGTGTGTGGTCTTAGAAATGGAAAATGATAATTTGGAACAAGAAGAAGATAATATACATTTCTATAACATGAACAGATGTTCCACCTCCTAAGGAAGAAGGGGTTTCCATCTCACGTGGGCTCCTCCATGTTCAAAAATTTACCTCCAGATGCATTATGCATTCCCTCTTTTAACTCTCGTGGTTGGACATTTTGCTTATCATATGTAAGATCACGACCTAACCAAGTTAAGTTGTCTTGTAAAGTCGGTTAAGTTAAATCTTCTTACCCTTGTAGAATATAAAAACGTACAAATGTATTTGGGATATTACGAATCACAGAACTTGAACAAAAATCTCGGTTTCAGATACTAAGAAACTTCAACAAAGCTTTATTTTTTGCTGGGGTTTGGCTAGAGAAGGAACTCCCAATGTTACCTGTCTTCCTCAAACCGCTGAAACAATTAGCCTGATGGTTTGGTCCAACTCAGGTGCTAGTAATCTTCAGCTTGTTGACCCAGTAGCCGAGCTGCTCAGCGACACAGTTTGATCCAGTTGACCCATAGGAACTGAACTTATTAACTGAGTTTTCGACTCCCAAAAACCCAAACACATCTTCTTCAAACACAGGACTCAGCTTCTTCATCTCTTCAAGACTTAGGTTCTGGAGTTCACATCCTCTTGAGACACATACTCCAACTAGTTTCCCAACAACATCGTGAGATGACCTAAAAGGCATCCCCTGTGAATCAAAACAAACAAAAATGTATTATCTTCTTGGATCTAATAAGAACAACAAGTCAACAATATTACCTTCTTCACAAGGTAATCAGCAAGAGTAGTAGCATCAAGGTGTCCAGCAGGGAGACTCTTCTTAATCCTGTCTTGGTTGAATGTGACATTCTGTGCAAACTCCGCAGAAACATCGATCATTCCCATTATTGTCTTGGTGCTGTCGAACATAGGTTCTTTATCTTCTTGAAAATCACGGTTGTAAGCAAGAGGAAGTCCCTTGCACAGTGTTAGGACAGTGACCAGATCACCTATGACTCGAGCAGATTTTCCTCTGACAAGCTCCATCGGGTCTGGATTCTTCTTCTGCGGCATTATACTGCTTCCGGTTGATACGGAATCGCTTGGAGTCATGAAACCAAACTCCTCAGAGGCCCAGAGTACCCACTCTTCTCCAAGCCGTGATAGATGAATGGCTGTGTTGGAGTTTGCATATAGAAACTCCAACACGAAATCTCGGTCTGATACTGCATCAATGCTGATTCAAGTAGAGGAGAAAAAAGACTTAACAAATGAGCAAATCGCAAGATTTAAATAACAAGAATTAATAACTAGGAACAAACCTGTTTCTCATTGGTTCAGTAAATCCAAGGGCACTTGCTGTCATGAACCTATCAATAGGTAGACCAGTTCCAGCCAAAGCACAAGCTCCTAGGGGACAGTAATTTAGCCTCTCTCTACAGTCAATATAACGACCAGCATCACGTTCAAGCTGCCACACATGAACACATCAAACATATGAGATTACAGTGTCAGAGAGATCTCGTTAAATGTAAGAACCTATGATGCATCTAGGCACAGACTACCATGCAAATAACAATCAGCAAATTACGGTCATAGATTGATTCTACTAACATAGCCTAATAAAAAAAACTAACACTTGAGCAAATGAGAGCTTCCAAACCAGACCTGCTCTACATAAGTTAAGAGAACATGTGGGAGCAAAACAGGCTGAGCCCTCTGAAGATGAGTATAACCAGGAACAATCAAACCCTCGTTCTTCAAAGCAAGCTGAACTAGAGCTGTCTGAAGATGTTTGATTTTGACAATGATTGTATCGATAGCATCACGACACCAAAGCCTGAAATCAGTAGCAACCTGGTCGTTTCTGCTTCGTGCTGTGTGAAGCTTCTTAGCAGGTTCACCAATTAGATCAGTAAGAGCAGCTTCAATGTTCATGTGCACATCCTCTCGATCAGTCCTCCACTCAAATTCATCTCTTTCAATCTTTCTCTCAATATCATCAAGACCTTGCAAAATGCTATCTCTGTCGGAATCAGTTATAAGTCCCTGTAATAACAACAACAACCAAAGATTCTGACTTTACAAATCAAATCTAGAGATGAAGTTTGAGTAATGAAGTAAGAACCTGGTGAGCGAGCATTGTTGCATGAGCTTTGCTACCCATGATGTCCTGCTTGTAGAGAACTTTGTCAAAAGAAATGGACTCAGTGAACTTCTCCACTTTCTCTGTGACACTCTCTTCGAACCTTCCACCCCATAGCTTCACCTCCTTGGAGGCAGTCTCGTCATCGTGGCTGCTCATTGAACGCAAGGGAGGCAGACACCGTGACTTGCTTCCCGGCGGCAAGAAAGAGACGGAGCGGTGTGTTGAGGAGGGAGGATAGGAGCGTGACGGAGAGAAGAAGAGACTCTGTGAGAGAGAAAGATCAAGTGCTCCCATTGGTTGTTAGGTGGCGGAGGAGCACGACAAGGGTTTCAAGGTCTTAAAATGGCTTTTTGCGGCGACAACACTCGAACACTTTGTTAGTGGTCGTATGGTTAAAGGAATCATGTTTTCAACCGGCCTGGTTTTAATATTAAACCGGTCGGTTTGAATATTCAATCTGATTGCAATCACCGTTTTGGTATAGATCGGTTTAATTAAACTCTAAAAGCAATCTCGAGCTTGCCTTGATCCAAATGTCAACAAGAACAAAACATTTCAAAGAGAGCAATCACTCACAACTTCTGAATCACTCTTAGCTTAGCACTTCTTGCTCTGCGGTTAAGTTTCTCCTCGTCCTCTGAAGGAGTAATAGGTCTCTTTGTTAGTATTACTCCTTTCGAACTGATTACAGTTTGTTTGATCCATGCTTCTTTCTCTTTTAACTCTTTATCTATGCTTTCTTCGATTTGTCTCTCCGGTTTTACGCTCATCTCTGTGCTTGTCTCCTCCCTTTGAAACCCTAAAATGTCGAGGAACGTTTGTTTTACTACTCGATCCTCCAGACTGTGAAAGGAGATGACTGCTAGTCTCCCACCTGGGGAGAGAACATCGAAGGATGAGTAGAGTGCGTTTTGAAGTGTCTTGAGTTCGTCGTTCACTGCGATCCTTAGGCCTTGAAACACACGTGTTGCTGTCTTTATCCAACCTTGTCTGCCTCCTGTAACATTTCAAATGGAAGCTCAAATAAGATTATAAGTATCATTTTCATCTTTTTCATGATCATTCACTGTTAAGTTGTTTACTCTTCAATGTTTTGCACCTAGCAACCATATCTTATAACTACGAACACTAACTGGGGCTCACATTAAGATGCAAATCAAGAAATTCCAAGATAGATTACGAAGCAAAATAAGAGAGAGAACTGGAAACTATACCTCTGCTTGGTGGTGACATTCTCCGGATGAGATCCACTAAATCACCAGTAGAATGTAACCCACCACTTAGTCGAGCCTTAACGATCCTGGTTTGAAGTAAATACCAATTACTTTCTTCGCCATATTCTCGTAGAACTCTCCCCAGCTCTGATTCTGGCCAAGAATTCACTATATCTTCCGCTGTCAGACTCGCCTGTCACATAGTCAGCATATATGTTATAAAGAGAAAAAGACTTACTGCAGATATTCCAAAGTGATTCAAATTCCAGAAAGGTCAGAGCTCCGTTCACAAGCCTATATAACTAACCTGAGGATCCATGCGCATATCAAGAGGTCCCTGTTGAAGAACACTAAACCCTCTTTCCGGATTGTTTACCTGTGGTTAAAACATTTCACAAGCGTGTGTGAGAGATAATGTCAAGGATGCAAAGAGGAAACTCAAACACACATACCTGCATAGATGACATCCCAAGGTCCATAAGAATACCATCAACACCAACATCCAACAGCTCCGGATGCGTATCAGCAACCGCGGATTTAATGTATTTAAAGTTCTTCAACACAACAGAAGCCTTCAAAGTTGGATGCATGAGTGAATCAATATGAAATTGAGCCAGTTTCCTAGCCACAGGATCCACATCCATTCCAACAAAATGCTTCAACTCAGAGTGACTTTGAATAATCTGAAACACAAAAATCACAAATCCACAATCTCTTTACATATCCAACGGTAGCTAAATAATCATCTCTCAAGTCACTAAACTTAGCATAAGAAGTTGATTCCTCCTAAGCAGTATTCTAAAAATCGGATTAGGCGGCGGGTAAGCATCCGCCTAGTGGGTAAATCAGATATGAATTTAACGATTTTCTCAATCCGAATTTTTAAAAAATTGGTTAGGTGTTCAAAAAATCGGCCTAGACATCCGCCTAAACAATAATTCTCTACTAGAGGAGCATCTACCTAATCACCGCCTAGGGATTTTTAGATTTTTAGAACATTGCTCCTAACTCCTAAGCATAAGAAGTTGATTCCTCTTAAGAAGTGTTCTAAAAATCGGTTTAGGCGACGCCTAGGCGTTCCTCTAGTAGGGAAATCAACAAAAAGCTAGTCAGCAAATCAGTCTAAATTTTTAAAAAAGTTCGATTAGGTGTTCAAGAAATAGGCTTACACACCCGCCTAAACAATAATCCTCTATTAACCGCCTAACCGCCTAACCACTGCCTAGCGATTTTTAGAACATTGAACATTGCTCCCCTAAGTAAGAGCTTCTTCCAATCTTAGATTCTTAGCTAATTGAACTTACAGAAGAAGAGTGACCAGCTGCGCCAAGTGTACAATCCACAAAGCTTCTCAACCGAACCGAAGCGAAAACGTCCATAACTTCTCCGAGCATGACAGGCACGTGAGAGGACGGAGCCTCCCCGCCATCGCCGATCTCATACTCTCTGCTAGAACGTGTCCTTCTCTTTTCCTTATTAACAACTGCTTCCGCTGTAGCTTTCGCGACTTCGATTTCTTTCCTTCTCTTCCTCTTCTCTTTCTCCTTCTTCTTCGTCTCGCTGGGACTGAGATTCCCCGCGGTTACATTGATACTACGCCGAGGGAGAAGTGACAGAGCCTTGTTGATGTTGTTGTTGCTTGAGAGAATGGACGAGCATAGGAACATATGATGCTTCACCCTAATCACTCCCGCCATATCGGTTTCTTCTCATGCCTCTTTCGCCATTGTCGAAGTACTGCTATCAGATGAACAAGTTTGCTCCAGAGAGTCAGGGACTTCGTTATGTTGGGCCTATAGGCCCATATGTAAGTAGTACTCCGTCCATTCCTAATACATATTTTAGAAAAAAAATTGTTTCTAAAAGATACATTTTTTTACATTTTTAATACATGTTTTATTAATTAGTTATAAACTTCAAAAAACATAATCGTATTAATTTATTTTTTATTGGTTTAAAATTAAGAAAATAAAATAAATACAAAAATTATGTAAATTTATTGTGTTTTATTAAAAATATGAAAAAATTAAAATATGGATCTTTTAGGAACACAGAAAGTATAAAACAATATGTTTTTCGGTTTCTAAACAGTGAAATCTATGTTGTTTTGTTGCCCTACAACCGGCAGGAAGTTAACACAAATTGTTGCTCTTTGTTTTTTTCTTGTTTTCTCCCGTTTATTTTTTACCGTAAAATCAACTGTAATTTTGTTTTTAATCTTTTTTGTTATTAATATAGTACTATTTATTTTCCAGTTCCTTCATTCAAAAATAACTAGGGAAATACAGTTTTGAAGTGAAAATGAAAAGTTATATATTCCATTAATTTCATATTAAGCATCGTTGGAAAGAAAAATTTTCGCTGTAAAATAAGTGTCGTATTCTAGTTTCACTACAAAATATATTTATTTTAATTTATTTTCTATCGACTTAAAAGTGGTTATGTTTATAAATAATGATAATTGCAACATTAATTGTGTTTTTAATCTGTGTGTAAAAAGTTATGATACATTTAAAATAAAATAAAATAAACAAATATTTTTTTTAGTAAAAAGGAAAATTATATAATTCAGAAAACAATCATATGTCTCGAATTAAATAGATTAGATTTTCCCAGTGACATTGGTCAACAATACCATTTCTTTTGGTCAACATTACTCAGATTGCTATTTATGGCTAAACAATTTGGTCAGTTCTTCTCCTTGGATCGTCAAACATATTATTGACCCTAATTAATTTTACTTATTTTACTTGTTCAAAGAATCTACACTATACATAAAACACAAAGAAACATAGTGAATTGAACTTTACCAATTAATAACAGATTTGTTTTGGTTTCAAGCCAATTATTGTAGATTTTGTATTACTAAAAAATCAAAGAAAAGAAATCATAGATAGCTTTTACAAGAGTTTCCAAACCATTCGAAATTTCCCCTCCAAAGTCCAAAAACGCATGGAAGTCGAAAGACCACTCTTGCTTCTCTCGTGATTCTCATTAATACATTCCTCCCTCTCTCTCTTTTTCTCTTCATTCAATCCGATGGATGGCGGTGGAGGAGGAGGTTGCATCAGGATCAGGTATCTGTCTCCACGAAGAGTCATGGCTCGGTTGTTCTCCTCACCGACTAAAAACAAAAGGATGAAGAAGAAGAAGGCTATGGCTGAAGGACGTGTCAGAGACTGTGACTCTTCGAGGATCATAAATGATCATCATGGTGCTGGCCAACGTACAGATTCGCCGCCACGGACGATCGATTCCGGTAACACATGACTCCAATCTTTTATACATCCCCTGTTCGTTTAATGAACGCTGCGTTCGACAGTGGCGTCAGAGATTTATTCATAAGTTTGTTCACCTTTGATTAAATGAAACGACAAATAGAGACGCTGCGTCAGAAAAATGAAGCTTTCCGGGTGTTGCGGCCAACGCAAAAAAAAGTAGCGACCATTGCCTTCATTTCTCTCTCCTCTCTGCAATTGAAAACATAGACGAGGCGTCAGATTTCTTCCCGTGTTCTTCTCTCTTTCCTTTTGAACACTCTTTTTTCCTTTTAAATTTTGATCTGTAGTCGCAGCCGCTGCGCGTTCGTTTAACGAACAGGGGTTGTGTATGAACAGAACAGCGTTAGACTTGTGTCTTAATTGTTATTTATTTTATGTCTTTTAGAACTGCGAAGAAAGGAGTTTTTGTTCAGTATTGGGATGAGTTGTTACTTGCTACATCTGATTACTAATGAGAGAGAAGAGACTCACAAGATAGTCAAGCTACGTAACGATATAGAGAAGCTTCTTGAGTGTAGGAAGGATGAAATGAGGCGTAAAGAGGAAGAGTTTGACGAGTTAAGGAACGATATAGACAAGTTATTACAATATTACAATGATGGTTTGAGGCGAAAACAACAGAGGTTTGTCGCTGGGAAGCAAGAGCAGTGTGGCGTTGTGGAAACTTCTAGTGATTACTATTACTCTCCACAGTTACCAGAGACATCATCTTTGACTGTTGGAGGTGAAGGTTCTTTTAACCATTATTTATTTAAGGGAAAGGGAGAAGACTTTGGAGGAGACATGGATCAGCTTGAAGCAGAACTTGAAGCTGAGTTTGAGCTTCTAAATATTGGTCACAACCAAGAGGGTCAATATTCTAAGCTCAAGGTAAAATACTTGAAAAATTGTGCAAGTCTATTTTTTTTTTTTTTTGCTGAATTAATTGATGGTTGTGAAACTATCACAGGAGGTTTCAGAGGAGAGTGAAGATTCAGAAGGAATAAGGCCATTGGAGGAACAACAACAAGGAGTGTGTCCTTATGAGCTAGAGAGGAGGCTACATGAGCTCATAGAAAGAAGACAAGAAGAGAAGATAAATGAGCTGCAAATTGCATTGGAAGATGTTAAGCAAAGGCTTCATGTCAAAGAGGCTGAAGTTTCTTGGTGGAAAGACACTGCTCACATTGTGTCTGAACATATTCCTCAACCTTCTTAGATTCAACCCCAACTCTCAAACTCGTCAGTACCCTCTCTCTAGGTAATAAATTTGGTGTCTCAAGTTTTTATTACACAACAAGAGTGTGGAGAAGCAACATGTTATTTAATGGATTTGCTTTGTTTTTTTTCAATTTGCTGTGGAGCAAGAGATTTTTAAAACACATGTCAGTCTTTTGCAGTGCTCTTCCTGGAATGAAAATTTTAAGTTTCACAATCCTAAAACCATACTTATTCTATAGATAATGTTCCAAAATATTTTTCTGAACTAGCTTTTATACTCGCGCTCTGTATTAATAATTTAAAATAATTTAAAACAAAAAAATTAATTGAGTAATATAATTTTCTTATTGAAAATATAATTTTTTAATTTAGTATTTATGTTTTCTTATAATTATGTTATCTTATTAGCTATTTAGTTATTTGTATTTGTAAATATAATACTTATGTTTGTAAACATATTCATAATTATTGGAAATATTAATT